TGAATACCGGTATGTTGGTTTCTAAGGATGTTTTTACTATGCACCGGTATCGAACGGGCTACCCCGCTGGTTCCGCTGGCCCGCGTTCGACGGTACGAAATCTGAAGTATTCGTGGCACGTGCTTGCGATTCCACAAAACCAGCCGGTTAGAAAAATTCTGGTTCGGCGGTACGAACAAACCAGGAGTGACCTGGAGTGACCTGGAGTCGAACCGTGAGCGTGACTCGGACGTACACGGGCCTCGCCGGCGCCCCGGGCCAGCTACCAAGCTCGAAACCAGCAGTGGGCCGTCACTACTACAAGATTACCATTGACTGAAGGGCACAGCTGATTCGGCGCTTTATATTCAATTGAGCTCAACTCGAGTAATTCATGAAGTCTACGGGATCGACTGAGATCCACTAGGCGACCATTGCCTGTCTCGTCTCACCCGCATATTGCACTCTCAACCTTCCGGCAATCAGCTTTACTAAGTTCATAGTCCTACCTTCCGCAAACAAGCAACAGTCAATATCTTTCCAAGCACACAGCTCAGCAAGCGCATTCAGCTGCCGCCATGGCTGACTCTGAAACCACCCCGGCCAAGCAGGCAGAAATCGAAGCGGCGCCGTTTGACAAACCTCTCTTAAGCCCGGGCGGCGCCCGGCAGCTGCTGTGCGCCGTCGACGGCTCTGAGGGGTCCAAAGCGGCGTTCAGATTCGTCCTCGAGAAAATGACGCTCCCAGAGCGGGGGGACAGAATCATCCTGTTCCAGGCGTGCCGGCGGGTCGACCGAGAGCTCGTTGAGCCGGGAACCCACTCCTACCAGACGAGAGACTTCTTTACAGGTGCGAGTTCCTCATTTACAAAGTTTACAAGAAAAAGTCTGTTTTGCCTTTGCTTTGTAAAACGTGCAATTGCGTTGCGATTCTCTGTGCTTAATTCCGATCCATCTGGGACCCGCGTTTGCCAGCGCCCAAAAAGTGCGATGGAACTAGACGGTTCTGCTTCCCGGAAGCTTCTCACCGGCCGGGCAAATCAGTCGAGTCATTGACACAAACATTTAGCGGGAAATTTGGTACATCCTTTTGCTGCCTTCTGCTGCCTTCTGCTGCTTATGTAAGTTGAAAACCGTCACATCAGGAAAGAATATCGCATGTGGGTACTTGACAGAATTTTCAAGATTCTCTGATTCAAACAGGTGGGCGATAGCCAAGGGCTGAAATGAAATTGACGGACGCCCTTTCCCTATCCTCATTTCTTTTCTATCTTCTCAATTGATGTCGAGCAAGGGTCGGCCAATTTGTCGCGTACTCTACGTCTGATCCAAAATTAAGAGCTCTGGTTCCAGTTTTATCTCCTTACTCAATTAATAGCCAGTAAAGATGTCGTTTGCTTTCGACTCTGGAATCGTGGGTCCAGCCTGCTTCACTCAAAGCAAGCCTGACTCTTTCTGAAATTTCATGTCTCATAAAACCAACGGCACAGCAATCCTCTACCTGATGAAAGTTCCGGATCGCCTAACCTCAGCGCAAACCTGTTCAGCGCTACCATTCACTTTGGAATGGCCAGAAACACAATATCAAGTTCTTTGCTCGTCTTGCTCACCTCGATCTCGAAGCTCCTGACACCTGCCACTCTCCCGCTTTTCTTGCACCCCTCCTCTCCTTTCTTCACAAACTTCGACGGCTGATGCACACTCGACTATTTCGCAACCAAATTTCCCACCCGTTCCTCAATCACTTCAACATCATTTGACTGAACATAAGAACCTTATTTCTCTGAAAAGGGTTTCGGTGATTACCATTCCAATCTTACGTTCCTGAGAACATTTCCGTCATCGTCAGAAATTCTTCTCGTCTGCAGCTGATCTCGGCTTCATTGACGATGGGCATCGCAAGTCCGCCCAGGCAGAGCGCGAGCGCCAGGCGCTAAAGCAACTGGGGGAGCTGGTGAAGCTCGCTGACGTGAGCACCCGGGTGCAAAGTTTCCAAACGCTGTCTTGCCACTGCTGTGCTGACGTGATCTCTTTGGGGTACGGGTCGTTGTTCCGATCGCGCCGAGGTTGTCATCTGCTGATCCTTGATTGGTTTTCCATTCTTGATTCCTGCTTTCATCTTATCGACAATGTCTTCAGCCGTGTGAGGATCCCAATCCGTCAGAAATCTGCATTTCAAGCCTGTGGTCAGCCCGCTCCAAAGCGGGTCGCAAGCAGCTTTGAAATCTGCAAATGCGGGTACTTCGACGAGGGGGCGTTTTTGCGACTCTTGAGTTTGTGACAGAGCTGGATTCCTGAGCTTAATATCACGTCCAGTCACTCAACCGAGCAACTGTCGACAAGTTTACGAGTTCTGCGCCGCGGCTGCGCTCTTCTTGGTATAAAGGCGGTTTGAAACTTTCGACGAAATCAACCGTAGAACCAGAGATTATTTCCGCACTGGTACCTTTTCTGTGGCGAGTCAGGCTTTTTTGTCAGATTCAAAACTCTCCGCACTGGTACCTTTTCTGTGGCGAGTCAGGCTTTTTTGTCAGATTCAAAACTCGAAGCAGTTACGGAATATTGCTGGGATGCCTAGTTGAAGCTTCGGACTCGAAACATCGTTTACGAAACCCCTGCTTGAATCGTAGACCCAAGCGAGGCCACAAAGTCTAGTCAACCTTGTTCGCTCAGGATTTGTCGGCTTCCGTTTTGCGAAACTCCTGCTCTTTATGCTAGTACAACGTTTCCCGTCACCTTTCTCACTTCGACCACAATGCCCGCGACAGGCATCAGCGTGCGCAGACCCCAGCCTCACTTTCAAAATCGGTTGCGCGCGCGCACACGGCGGCGGTGCGCGCATTTTCGTGTATGGTGCATAGAGCCCGCCTCTCTTCTGCTCACCCTCAATTGCAATCGGGTATTGAATGACAAGGATGGTAAGAGTGAAATGGTCGCCTTAGCCAAGAGCATTTTGCCGCAGGTTCCCTGCGAGACGGTGGTGGTTACGGGCGACCCGCGGGACGAGATCCCGCGGTACGTCGCCAAGCACCCGGTGGACATCGTGGTGGTGGGCAGCCGCGGCCTGGGCACCGTGAAAAGGTACGTGGGCGATCAACATGAAACATTATTCTCACATTTTCTGATTCCGACTGGAAGGCCCGGAAGCTCTTACAGAATGTATGGTTGAATCTGGGCTCTCCAATGCGGATTCACAACGTCGACGGTAGCCTAAGAAGTCAAAGAGTGCGTAAGTTTCGTGAGGGTAAACGAAGATCGTTTGCACCATCGAAGGATTGGTGACGTGAAATACTTCGACCAGCGCTTCGGGCACCGCTTCTAATCTTTTGCTGTCATTCAATCGCACCCCTTTCTTCGCTGTGCAAAATTGAAAAACGAAACTTTGACTTGCATTAGATTCTCAATCTTGAAGATCCTCCCTTCTATTTGGAAAACTCAATGTTACGTTCCGCAACTGTCAGCGCATGTTCGGTCTGGTCTGCGTACCAAATTCGGACACCAAGCAGGAACTCTTGTCGACACTTGCTGGCAGTCGGGAGTCTATCTAAAATTCGTCAAATCCTCAGAAGTCGGGAACGGCATCTTGACCAGCCTGACATGTGTCACAAGTGTTAGGGTCGTTGCGAAATATCCTAGCATCTTCCTTCTGCTCCGTGGATCCGGCAGTTATTCCAAGGCAAAAGTCTTTGGTTAATTTGCTCGCAGGTTGTTCCTGGGCAGTGTAAGCTGCGACTTGGTTCGCCACTTGAGCGTTCCGGTCATCGTGGTGCCGCCGCCGTCAGCGGCGAAAGCGGTGAACTAGAGCGGGCGGGAGTTGCAAACAAGGCTTCGAAGACCGCTTAAGACATGCAGAGTTGAGGTTCTTTGAGAGAGGTGTATTTGCCACTTCGTACTTGTACAGACTACTGTTGAGTGTAGAATTTGATAACTACCTATGGTTCTCCAAAGTCTAGATAGACCACCGGGATCATGAGCAGATCGCAAACTGGGTTATAAGTCACTGGCTTGCAGACATGTTAAGGCTTGACAGAGCTTCTAAAAGGGGGATGCTGCTAAGCTTAGCTTTGGGCTGGAGAGTTGCTCCAAGTAGAAGTACGAAGTTCTAAAGCTTTGTAGAATTGTAATATCAAAGCGCATATATTATTTTGGTTTTGCATGTCAAGCGAACATCTATATGGTGGATGGCGGTGAATGAGGAGAGGTACGAGAAGTCACAGTTGCAGACAGAATACCGACGTGCATGCTCACACTTTTCTGGCTTTTATTTGTCTGGGGAAAGAGATCAATATTACCTATCATCCAGCCGCAGGTCCTACATGCCAAGCAATAAGGACACGCAGATCCATCTAGTTAACCATGGCATCCAATCAGAACAACGTGTACGATTTCTCTTGACCTACTAGATCCAAGCTCTCGCATGATGTAGATTGTGCACAGAAAGGCGTCCCATCATGAGGAGCTCTTATAGATGCGGCTCGTTGCAACAGTTGATAGCGTTCTCTTTGATAATGCACATGATCAAGACAAGTTTAGATGTGCTGCAACCGTTTCGAATTATGTCGAGACGACCGTAGCCTTGCACATGTTTACACCCCGGAAGCATCCTGGCATGGTCTGCATGTACGTACACGAGACAGATCATGAAGGCTCAACGGAGCCGCTTCACAGTTCTGAACTCGTCTCGATTCAAAATATTAGCGGAAAGCTGGGCGCTGATGCGCTTTGAATGTGCCCTACCAAGCAACACTGGCCAGTCTCTAGAGCGACTATATAGAAAAAACCGATCTCACAGGATATGGAAGTGATCTAAGACGGGTTGGCCCTGGTAGACGATGTGCTGAGCGGATTCAATTGCCGGATTGTATAAAAACGGCCAATATCGCGCTCTCAAACTTTTGACTCAGAAAAACAAGACGAAAGCGCGCCCTGTCCAGTGAACTTTGTCTTTGCAATCTGCTTGAACCATACAAAGACACCAATTTAGTTTCACAGCTCTGACCGCAGGCTACCTTCTCCTACATGAAGACGGATCCAACAAGGGGCCCGCTTGGGGGATCCCCCCGCATCCTATCGTGGCTGCTTTCGTCCCGGGCCTCCCCCCGGTCACTGGCCTTCTCCTTGCGCTCCTTGGGACAGGTTCCCCCGACAACGACGACAGGTACCGGGGAGTGGCTGACCAGGTAATTGCTCACACTGCCCAGCACCATACTGTAAAAACACAACGTAAATGAGGTTTGAGGGTTTAGAAAACGTGGCTCGGAATGGAGAAACAGAATCGATACTTCCCCAATGAACTGAGACGTGTCGATTGCATCATGTGGGGGGCCTGTGAGAAGTTTCTCTACAGTAGTTGCCACGTGGAAAGAGCTTTTCAAGGTGAGGACCATTCTGGGAGAGTAGACAAACGCTGAAAGATCTAGAGCGAAGTTGCGGACTGCGAGTGACTCAGGACCTCACCTGAGAATCGTCTCGAACGAATGGTGCAGATCGTAAGACAGACATCCGTGGCAAAAAAAGGGAATCCGCCTCGGCCTCCCCGCAAAACAATATGTTTCCTAAGCAGTCCAATCTTCCATTTGAAGACATCTCAACACCAACTGGTACAGGATCCACTTCGAGCGAGGTTTTATGTTCGTGTCTTCGGTAACGGAGAGCCAAGTTTGAAAGATCAAGGATCTCGAGAACTATCCACATTCTTCACGAACATGTATGAACCTCGAATCGACTTTGGAAACGAAGTGTAACCCGGGCCAGAAAGAGCAAGAAAGCCCACCTTTTGAACATCCCCCGGCCGCGCCTACCGACCACTACCAGGTCCACAGGGTGCTTCTCGACGTAGTCGGGGATGAGCACCCGGGGATCGCCCACCAGGACCACCGCCTCCGTCTCGACCTGCCATTAAAAGGGGCATTTGATTACGCGTGATCACCAGACGGCTCAGTTTAGCGGCGGGTCTTTTCCGCCAAAATCAAGTGGAGACCGCTAGCGCCAATTGCCGAGTCTCGAGCCGGCGGACTGCGCAGCGACGGAAAGTTCGCAATTGCCGTGAAACAGTCGCCGCTCAATGACGTAGCTCTGACGTAGGTGGAACTGCCTGTTTCAAGACCCGCCGGGGATTGTAGATTCGGGGCGGAAAGTATTTGGAATCTGATCAGCGGGAGTAACTGTTCTGGGGCTGAACCCAATCTGGAAAAGGGATATGAAAATCGGGCAACGGCAGAAGAACCAAGGTGGTTCTGAACTTTTGAGAAGGCTAAGTCCATAAAATTGATGCATTTCTCAGTCTGAGAAGCTTCCCAACAAAGGTCAATCTAAGCAATCCGCCTGCTGATTTGGATTCTGTGCCTCGAAGAAGCCTACGAACCAAGCCACGCGTTAGAATATGAGTTCAGAACGACCCTTGCAACAAATTTGTATCCAATCTGGAAAGAAGTTTTCGTACCGGAAGTTTGCACTTGAGATTCTCGACGTTGGAGAGGCACTCTTGCTTGAGCAGGTCCTTCACCACGGTCATCCCATCCTCATCGAGGCCTGCAAAATCTGCGGTGGCAGCGAGAAAGAGGAATTGACAAAGCACACAATCAAAAGCCGCGAACGAAACCGGGACATCCCAAAAGTTGGCACCCTGCTCGGCGGCTCAGTTATCTCTTGGGGCTCTCTTTTAACCCTCATGGGCTCTGTAATCCTGCCCCTAGAGGCCCCCCACCTGAAACGGATCAATATGTACCAAGTACGACGTAGCAAAACTCTCCCCAAGATGGATCTTTTCGCAGTATAAACAGATTATCGGCCACAAGGCAGCCGAGGGAGGATACATGCAGCCGTGAATTTAGCTTGAACAAGCCTCCGTGCTGTCAAATTGATTTGGGCCGGAGCCAATGCCTACTAAAATAATGAAGTGAAGTGTCTATGCACAGAGACAATATGTATGAATTTGACATTCCTAGGAACCAAATGGTTCTAAGGTGACGTAGAGATCAAGTCATCCTCTGCATGGATTGCAGATCCTCCACAATCGCCCACTTAAAGAAAGTCGGTCCATTTCATGTATCTCAATGGACTCGCACCCAGAAAATTGCAGATTTCAGCTCAGTGAGGGACAACACAAGCATGGAGTTGAAGACTCATGCCGCGCTTTTGCGTCATAATCAGGAATGAAATTGAAAGGAGGCGAGTTGTCTACTCACAAACGCGCAAGCGTCGCATGCTTGTTTCCTGTTCCACATTGGGAGCCCACCTGAGACGTCCTTGTATACAACTCACCCCGAGTGTCTTGTATCGCCTGAAAGAGTACAATCCTGTCGCCCTTCTCCGGGTCCACCAGCTTGTCTACCGCAAACTGGAGCGCGCGCGCGGCCGCGTCCGAGTTGTCGAACGCGCACAGGACGCGCTTGCCGTCCGTGCTGCCTGCGCGCCGCGCACCTGCTTCGTTGCATGATTTGTCCTTGGAAGCCATGTGCCCGCGCGCTTGGAATGGAAGGATTGCGGAAAGAAGTCCCTGTCTACGAAGCGGAATTCTGGTCGAACCGCGCGCAAAGTAAGTGGAGAATCGGGTCCTCCCTGCCCTTTCGCCTTTATTGCGCGCTTTCTTTGAACCTATTCCAAGTTTCCCTCAGCTCAGAATCTGGGCTTTTTCTGGTTTCCTTTGCGTGCCTTATAGGATCTTACATGCATTCACCTCCAACTTGATCGAAGTAACATGCAAGAAGGCTTGCGTTCTCTCTTAAAGACCCAATTTGACGAATATCGCAAACACTTGTGATGCGGTACCCATATCAGACCTCCAGCATTGAAGAGAGAGGAGTCTTCGGTTTTTGGCCACGCCGTATGGTGCTCATTTCGAAAGTCTGAAACCTGGTACGGATGTTTGCTCGACAATGTCCTCGAGTTTCCCAGGTAAGACGATTTTCGCGCGCTCAACTCTGAACCAAATCAAGACTCCACCTTCGATTCGATACCGCTGAACTCTATACGACTGGGTGACAATGCTGGTTCAATCGTCCAGAACCTCAGTCTCTGCCTTCGTTTGAGCAGGAAAGGTTCCCAGATTCCTCATGTTGTGCACTTCTAAAGACGCGCCCTTCTATCCGGTGAATGATCGAACGAGTCGACCCTCCAACATTGTAAACCAGCTGTGAAGTGTCGACCAAAAAAGCTGCAGTTTCCCAAGAATCTTTAGATGATAGTAACCAGAGGCAGTTTCAAAGCGAGCAGGCGCCTCATGCAAACGCGTTCAGGCCTTCGCGCGCCGTTGCTATGCAATCCTCTGATTGCGAATCCTTCCAGCCCTTTATTCCAGACCCAGAATTCCTGGTGCCCTTCTGAATTTTGCTTGAAGTCTGCGTTCGAGAGTCATGAGTTCCTGCTGAGAAGCGCGCTTCTTCAGGGCAGCTGAGAGAAAAATTCTTCATCCTAGCTTCCCGTGCGCCCACCAGAACATGGCGTCCGCCCCCGTGAAGACGGAATGTCCGTCGGAACCGCCTCTGCCCCGGAAGCCGTCCGAAACTGGCCGGGGCAAGCTCATCCTGTGCGCGCTGGACAATTCGGACGGGTCCGCAGCGGCGCTGCAGTTCGTGCTGGACAGGCTGGTCAAGCCGGAAGATGGCGACAAATTAATCCTGTTCCACGCGGCCAAGGACATCGACCTGAGTGAGCCACGTGGCACTCGTTGATTGGAAGAGCATTTGGACTGTGCTGTAAACGTGGTTGGAGGGCGAACTTGGTCTGGTTCTGGAGACTCGTTGGTTCCAGGGAAGCGTTCCCTCTGAGGTCATAGACGATTTTTGTCCGCATTCGCAGACATTGCGTGTCCTCTTGAAGCTTTCTGGGTTGCTTGGGGGCGTATTCCTAGTTTCGTGTGAAATGGTGGTCTACTTGGATTGCGTGCACGACAGACTCTTCGAGGATGTACCAGTCAGCTGTTCTTTGGAGACATCAGCTTTAGGAAGTAGGCATCAGTTTTGGTGGTAGTAAGCTTGTTTATTCTCGGTTACAAAACACAGCTCGCATCAGTGGCAGGAAGGGGGATCCTGCCACTTTTGCTTCTCAGAGCTTCTGACCCAGTTCAGGTCCTTATACATGAATCCAGGCCCTAGCGAGTTGTTAGTTTTGAGGCGGAGGTTGTGAAGCACGTACGCCTCTGCTGGTTGCTCGATATCGGGAGCTCACTCTTTTAATATGTATCTAGAAGCATCATGTGTCCGCATTTCCAAAGATGGTCAAATTGTCAGATCTTATTGTGTTATCGCTCAATAGCTGATTGTTCGTAGCAAGGGGGAATCCAGAAACTTTGTTGTGACAAAGATCTTAAAGACCCTTCCGGATCCGGCCGCGGCCCCGCCCCATTGCAGTTGCGTCTCGCAGATCCGCACCAAGGCCTAGGCATCGAGCTTTCCGTCAATTTTACCATTTTGCTGAATTCTGAGCTTGTTTCCTGCAGTCTGCACCAACGCGGAGCTCATGTTTGTACCCGACAGTGACATCGACGTGATGCAAGATCGCATCAGGCAAAAGTGCGTTGACGCTCTGGAGATGCTAAAGCCTGAAATCCAGGTGAGCGAGTCGTTTAGTGTCAAAGCTGGCCGTTTCCTGGTTGCATGATCAGAGATACCGCGCAGCACTGCCGAGGGCTGACCCGAATGCGACGATGCACATTTCCTCTCCGCTCTAGGCCTTCTCGGGTCCGCTTCTGTGAAGTGGTCCTACTTCTGGGCCGCTTGGGATTGGCAGCCATCATTTTGTACTTTTTTGATTGCCTGGGACTGTGCACGCTGAGCTGATCGTTCTTTACATAAACTGACCAAGCTTCTGGCGTGGGCAGTCAGGGAAACTTAAAGCATCTTTATCAGTTGCAAAACCCAGATCGAGGCCGGAGATGCAGAATTTTCGTCTTAATGGGAAGGGCATTTGAATCATCGCCTTCGACCGCCAAACGGCCCTGACAGCGTCTTCTACCGTAGAAAGAAAGCTCGCAACCCCGTCCTGCGTCGAACAGGAGGCGCCCCCATCAAACTCGCTAAAGACTGCGCTTTCTAGACAGGTTTGATCATTCGTATCAAGCCTAATCCAAATTTTCCGAATCTGCACAGGTGGAGACGGAGGTGGTCGTGGAGGTGGGGGATCCCCGGCAGCTGATCCCCGAACACGTGAAGCAGCACCACGTGGACATGGTGGTGGTCGGAACACGTGGCCGGGGGCCATTCAAGAGGTGGGCTTCTTGTTCGCACAGGAGATGTTGGCAGCTAACCAGGCGAGCTACCAGAGTTGATTCTTAGATTGATTCTACAAATACCCGGGACTTAAACCTTGTTCCGAGGCTGGTTCCCGCCCAGATCTGGTTATCGGACGTATAACCACTTACTAACCAAACCAGAACCGATTCAGAACCATCCTTGGTTAAGGGCCAAAATTTCCTGTGTCGGAGCCGTTTCTCGTCCCCCCCCCCTCCCCGATTCTCTGTCCAGCTCGCTTTTCCGTTTCCGAGCTTTTCTTCTTCCCTTTGACGCGGGCGGTCGTTCTTGGGACGGGTAATCTAAACTGTGGACTTCTTTGTCTCGCGATTCTTGATCTGCCACAAAAAATGGTGGAAAGTCTCCAGCCACCTTGGCAACTTCCCCCTCGAGCGACTCTCTTTCGCGAAGACATCGCCTACGCTCGATTTGTCCACCCTTCTTTTCGTATCCCTCCGTTCTTCCGATGCCCCGTGCTTGAACAATTCAGACGCTCCTCGGGATCGATTCAAGCAGCGACGAATCTTAAGGCCTTGTATCACGAAGTAAGGACTCGTTTCTGGACATCCTCTTTCGCACTTTTCCAAGCAGCGTCCTTCCATACTTGTTCGAGTAAACACTCTTTTCAAAGGAAAACCCTCGCCTTCCTTACGGACTCAGCCAGAAGATTGTATCCGCCATCCGCCGTGTGCAAGTCCACTAACCGAGCACGGTTAGCGGTGGGTTATTCCCTTCGAATCGACGCAAGTTTCTCCGCTTCTACTGCAGCCTCCTTTTGGGCAGCGTAAGCAGCCACCTGTCCAGGCACTGCCCGGTGCCGGTTCTTCTCGTCCCCACCCCCAAGTCGCTACCGCACGATGAGGCGCGCAAGAAACCCGCTTCTGAACCGGGAAGTTCGCCGGGGAAGGAGCAGGTTTAGGGTTTAGCTGGGCGCCGATCGGAACGCGGCTGGTGGGCTCCGATTGAGCTCGGTCGAAGACACTCCTGACCAATCCTGGGCTCTTGGTTGCGGCCGCGGCATGTAGGAGAGCCTAAGCTTTATATCGAACGTACTGTTTACTGCAGCTAAGAAGTGTGAAATCTCAACAGGGAGAGACGTGCTAGACCGCTTGCAATCTGGGGCCCTACTAGTGTGTGACGTTGTAATGGGAAATGTGGTCGTCGAATTGTCTTCCAGAAGTATCCAGTAGTCTCAAAACTTCGTTGAGACAAGCGGATACATAGCAGAGGGTACGATAGAGGGTACTTCATAAATATATTCTGTACCGTTCGAAACATGCCCTGACGTACGGGCCCTCGCCTTGATCTGTCTTTGTTGCAAGTGGCGAATGTAGAACTCCAAGCTAGGAGAACAAAAACCAATGAGAAGGGCAGAAGAGGGAAACCTCACTGCAGAGGGTCACATGATGGAGTGCAATGCCCGAGAGTCTTCTACTACGCCGTATGCTGTGGCTCCACGATTTTCGCATGATGCGTGCACTACTCCGAGGCTCCTATCTGTCGCTTTTAAGCCCATGGTACATTCTGCTCCTCGTACTAAGACCAGCCTGGACAGTCATCATGCGGCTGATTGCTTACTCGAACCGTCCCGGTTCCATTCGACATTTGCCCGTTCCGTTCCATCAATTGTTGGCTAAAAGAAGGATGATGTCATCAATACATAACTAACCCCCGCCCACTACTCTAAAGCGTAAAGTGGGCCACTCGTGCGAAGGTTGGAAGCCTCTTCCAAGCGCTAGAAATCGGCGCCCAACTGACGTTAAACATGCTCGCTATTGCATAATGGGCGTCTATTACGTTAAAAAAGGCGAGCGCATGCTTTGCGTACATGCTCAATGCGAACGTAGTGGCGTCAGATTGACTTGAAGGGGCATGCGCTGCACATATAAGTTACGTACTTCAGCTCTACGTAAGCACACCCTTTCAGTGACTTCCATGATGCATACTCCAATGATGTTTAAGACACATGTACCGTAATCTTAAAAGTAGCTTAACCTTCGATGGGCATCGTGTCAAAATATTTGTGCAATGGCGTCTGGACCTCCGGAAAAAAACCGGCCACCAGGGGGGTGCGGTCAGAAATAGAGACGAAAAACACCGGCCACCAGGGGTACCCAAGCCCCGGCGAGGAACAATTTGAGATTAGATATATACGACGATGGGGCCTGCAATCAAATTGCTCCACGTTGAGAATTCGAACCAATCTACTTACAGAGGACTAGTGTGCGATTCAGAGCCGTATAAGACAACAACTGGGTTACATATGCGGCTGGACCCTTCATTTTTTTAGACAAAACCCGTTTTGGCATCTCGTCCTAGACCGGTCGGTTGGTGTGGCCTGTCCCATGCGGCTTCTCGCAGGGGGCGGGCAACCAATTTGGTACATATATACGAGGTTGAGCGTTTACTTATAGGCAGACTTTTCGACAATTTTGTGGGTTTTGATTGCTGATGAAGATGCTCAACCGGGCACCGGCCACCAGCCCCCTCGACTCTTCGCCAGGGAGCTTCGAGAACCGGCCACCAGCCCCATCAAAGAGATTCGAAAAAGCGGATGTCCGGACGCCACTGCATAGGTGTTTTGACACGATGCCATGCGAGCATCATCGAGGTAGCGTGTAACTCTCTCGAGAGCTTGAAGAGCACCAGCCTCAAAGGGAGGCATGACTCTGCATGTTTCCACACCAGGTTCTTGTAACCTGCAGACTCAAGTACGGCGACTCCCTGCTTAGCCCGAGAAGCTTCTGACAAGGTTATTTGGGCAGGACGGACATCAAGGTGCCGCTAGCAAGCATCTGCAGAATTTGGGCACTCTACTTTGTGCACTAGTAGATACGTAGTAAGTAAATGAGGAAAAGGGGGAAAGAAAAGGTCGTTGGGCTTTTTGATTGAAAATATACAGGAGGTAGGAGTTTCCATAGACGCACTTCTATCGGGTTCGTTTGTCACGGAGCAACCGAAGTATGTGATCTTGAAGCCCGTTCCGCAGAACATTTTTTCTTAGCACGTGACTACTCTAAAACGGAGATACTGCATCTCTTCTAACGTACTATACAAACTCGTCTTTCGACAATAGGTAAATCGTACAGAGTCCTATTGAAATTTTAGAAGGGTCCAACGAGAGACCGCTCCTTGCTTATGTACTCCTTTCTTGCATACAAACCCGTTCAATACATTGCACAAAATCTCTCTTCCATCTGACATAGGCCATACCGTCATCAACAGCTGTCTTTTTGAGCGCCGTCTGCACGCACATGCTCCTGATGACGTCAGCGCCAGCGCTTTCAAGAAGCGGTCGCGTCGCTTTCCTTCTTCAGAAGCGATGCGGCAAACCTGGGGTTTGGGACGACGAGCACCGGAACCGGGCAGTGGCTGACCAGGTAGCTACTCACACTGCCCAGGAACAGACTGCAGAGAACGTCGGGAAAACAGTAACGAATCTGCTCCCAAGCATCGAAAACTTTTGCGGGTTGAGAGTTCTCTTGTGCGAGTCGTTTTAGGACCGGCTCTTGATGTCTTGCTGCCTCGGCCAGGTTCATGTTGTTTATCCCCACGGTTAGCTTCTTGCGGGTAACTCACAGCTTTTCGCATTTTGCTTCTTGCTGAGGGGCTTTGCGAAGCAGGCAAGGATCCTATTAATTGACCTACGAGGATCCAGAACAGTCTTTCCAGACAGGATCTGGGAAAGCACATGCAGGCGCGATAATCTAAGATAGGGCATCGAGAAAAGATGACAACTCAGACATCCGCCTTCAAGGTAAGTCGATGGAATATGCTCGAATCTTCCGGTACAAACCAGATGCTGCCTCGAAGCGAGGGAGAACGTGACAACAAGCGGTTTCCCAATCGGAGTTGCGAGGAGCTTCTGGGCTGTCTAACAGTAGCCTGTTGACAGCAACCGAACTTTCTTTTTCCTTTTCAGGAGCCGCTTTGGACGCAAGCACTGCCCTAAAACGGGACAATTCGTCTCCTAGGACTTAGACACGAAGGGATTTCGGCCTACTTTGCGAGCTTATTTTCGAACTCTTGCCGGATACCTTGGCAAAGTCTTGAACTAGTTTGTTCCGGGAGAGGGGTTTGATTGGATATGACTCTTTGCGTCCGCATACGAGGCCGAAGACATTCAAGAAACCCAGCATACAGAAAAGGTTTTCAGATGACGTGGCAGATTTTTACTTCTGCACGGAGGAGCCCACCTCTTGAACTTGCCCCGCCCCCGTGTACCGACCACCACCATGTCAACCGGATGCTTGGTGACGTAGTCAGGGATCAGCTGCCGGGGATCCCCCGGGAGAACCACCAACTCGGCGTCTACCTGTGCGAACGGAAGGAGAGTGCAAGTATCAGACACGGCCAATTTGAGTCGCGGCTCGATAGGCGAAAGAAACTTGTATTTGTCCTCCAGAACAGATGATGGGATTATTGGAGCTTTGGAGCTCCAGTTTGGTCTGGTAGAGGTGCAGTTCGGCGTCTGATTGTTAAAATCAGCTGTATGTAAGGGCGCTGATCCAAGCCCCTAATTCCGTGCTGGGGTGACCGAATGTAGATCTTGCAGGATAGGACGAGCGGACTTTACAAAACCGACCAGGCAACCCACACGAAAGAACGGCAGGCTGCTGAATTGATTTTGTTAGTACCAATTGTAATTGAACTTCATGCATATTTGTTGCCTAGCTATGTGCTTCTAGCTCGCTTCTGGCTCAAAAGGGGGAATTTTAGCTACACTCGCAGCAGAAAGTTTGTGCCGTCTTAAATCGACGGGGTACAAGATTAACGTTGTAATCGGTTCAATATGACCAGAGGGACTCCTGGGGTACATAAGTTGACTTTGGGGATAGGATTTCTGCAATCAGGGTGATATGAAAGTACCTGGAGACACCTCTCACCAGCTGGTTGCTGGAGAAGCTTTTAAGCATTTGAGCAGAGACTTCACTGCCTACCTTGAATTGTTCCTTGATCTTCTTCAGGTTGGACAAGCACAGCTCCACGAGGCGCTCTTGGGCGGCGGCAATCTGGTTGTCTGGGACGAACATGAACTCCACGTCATCATACACTGTAGAACCAAACAAGAATATAAGGCTTCGCCACAGACTCTATCCACAACGCTTTGCTTAAAGGAAACTTCTCAAAGCAGACTTCTCAAAGCGGACTTCTCTTTGAGTGGACAGGGCCTGACAATGAGAACAAGCGTGTGTTCACAGGATCGTCCTACGTTGTTCTTTGAGGTGTGACTATCATACGCTGAATACGACACACGTCGTCAAGTTGAACGAGCACAGAGTTCGTCACAGGTTCGTCAAAATAAGTTGACTGCGTCGCAAGCGTCTCCTGAGATTTGATTATAACGGAGATGGCTTTGCTATACAAGCCTTTGACCGCAATGCCTTGCAAAATCTAGCTGAACGTTTTGACTCAAAGTTGTGCAGGGCAGTGCAGCTGAATTCAAGCAAGACAATCTAGTAGCACCAATCCTGCTCAACTCAAATCTCAAATTGCTCAACTCGCAAGCTTACTGTCAATGACCCTTGCCGCCTGGAACAGGATGAGCTTGTCGCCATCCTCCGGTTTCACAAGCGCATCCAGCACGAACTGCAGCGCCAGCGCGGACGCGTCCGAATTGTCCAAAGCGCACAGCACGCGCTTTCCGAGGGTGGCCTTCGACCGCCGGTTGCTTGTGGCGATCTCTTTGGAAGCCATGTGGCGAGGGGCGTGAGCTGTTTTGAAAGGAACTGAGGGAGCGCAGGTCAGTGCAAAATGCGTAGTGTGGAATCTGCTCGGCAGCTCTAAACTCGTGGATTGCTCTGAAAAAGGACGGAGCAAGAATTCTTCTTTTCACGGATGAGGGGTCCAATGCAACTCGTTTGAGAACGGGTCCTGCTGCCACCGTATGAGAGCTTGTAATGATCCACTGGAGCTCCACTGATACATTAGCAAATCTCAAATACACGGGGAATTAAACCAGCAGCTTTGCTAGACCCCCGGCGCAGTGATTGTGCTGAGTCAGCTTGGTTCAAGCACCCGGTGGGTGACGTTGGACTTGCAATTAAGGCTCCAAGCAGTACTAGTAAGGACAGGGCCGACCGTACACTTTAAATAGAAGCTAGCAGAGTGTGGGCGGATCTGTACTGTCCAAGGCCAAGCTAAGCCGGCTTACCTAGTATTGCACCGTCCTGCCCGGCAGACCGGCCCCCGCCCCCCGCCCGGCGCTCTCACTGGTTTGATTTCGCCATCATGTCGGCCGACGCTTCTCTTGAAAGCAACAGGTTGGCGATTTCCTGATTGGAACGGAATTTCACAGCCCGGGCGTCAAAGGAAACCAGCTAACTTTTTTTCCTGCGCCAAACCTTAGAATAATCTTACTGCGCCAGTGCTCAAGTGCTGATCTGGCGGCTGCTGAACAGTGAAAAGACGCAGCGCGGTGAGCGCGTCGCCCCCGCGTCGCCTTTCCGCGTCCTGCTTTGCAGAAAACGCAATCAGGAATATTCTTGCAACCCCACGTCAGTTGCCAGCTTGTCCGTTCAGTCCACCGGTCATCATTCTTGCAAGCTCGGGAGTCGGTACAACCGGAGTCCGCATGCCGACATCCAGGGCACCGCATTGTACGGCAAAACGTCGGCGGCGCGCCGGCATTAACGACGTCCGGACTCCGTACACACTTAAACGGTCAGTCTTTTGCACGCGCGTTTACACGCGCATAAGCCGCAGCAAGCGAGTCGGCGCACTCCTTCATGGCCCCCCTGACTCATACTACGGTAGTCATAGGAGGCCCACAGGAGGGTGCTCTTCAGGAGAGCAGATGAGAATCAGACATGCCTGATCTATGTATGGCTTCGATCAGGAAGGGGCACGAGTTGAGAGCGGAAAAGGCGGCCCATTGCACATGTGTGTAGGCAATTGCGACTTTGATCAGTCGATATTCTGGGGTGGGGCAGTTGTTAGCGAACAGCATGCGCGCCGGTCCGGTGTCCTTTCTTGAGACGCCCGGTGCACTTAGAATGTGCCCATTCTTATGAGAGAGGATCAATGCAGTAAACCCCCTTCACTTCGCTATGGCTGCGACAAAAGAGCATGTCGCCACCGGCAGGCGGCCCTCGCGGCGTGCTGGACTGGACGCAGACGAGCTGCCGGTGGCCGGAGAAGTGGACGGCATTCTCGCTGAGCTGGAGGAGCTTATCCACAGCGCTGAGCTGGCGCTCGCCGCCGGCAAGCACCGGCGCCAGGGCGAGCACGTGTGCACCGCCATGTGCATGAGGATACGGAGCTTGGAAGGGATGTTAGTGGCCGCTCCTGGCGTTGCTGCGGCGGCCGACAACCCGAGACGTGGTGAGGGTTTCGGGAGCAGGGGGCGGCCCAGAGGCGGTGCAGCTCCACAGGGGAATGAGACCGGTTCTGAAGAGGAGTCCGGAGGGGGCAGAGAGCAGGGAGGCGGGCCGGGAGATGCAGAGGGGCGAAGGCATTGGTCGGAGGTCTTTGATGAGAAGCAGAGGGAGTTGGTCGGGAGCTTGGTTGCGCGCTTGCCGGCGATCGTCAAACGGTTCGCCCAAGCGCAGCGAGCGCTTCTGTGCGACGTGGCAGACAATCTGATGCAGGTGAAGAACTCAGTTTCGTTCGTTCTCTTCTTGTCTACAACTTTTCTTGCTTTTGGCGGACTGATCGAGCATGATACCTCCACGCTGACCTTTTCAAGTATGTCTCATGCACTCAGTTCTTGCTGCCAATCGTGGCACAGTGCGACATGGCGTGACAATGTAGGGTGGCCACGCTTCTGAAAGAATCCGATGAGGCGCACTTATCCCCAAGCTACCATATCCTGACAAATGCGCTGCGTGAAGTTGCAATCCATGACCCAGGGCAGCTAAGACCCTTCTGTGTGCCCATGAAAGACAGTGAACTGGAGAAGTACTCTTCGACTAACCCACGGCCCTGACGCTCTGATGTTCAATCTATGGTGTTGCAATACACCAATACTCATTATACAAAAGCTTCTTCTCGTATACCGCCACTCATCTGTTCTTTTGAGCCGAGCAGAATGGAATGCTAGTCATGAACGCGTTCTATGTTTGATTGCAGGCTCTGGACCTCCCGCTGGTGATGCAGGAACATAAGCCCAAGAAGTCTGAGAAGGGCACCCCGCCCTGGGTCAAGCCCAAGCTACAAACCCCTGAAGGACTACAGGAGCTGGTGAGTAGTACACATTCCGGGAGGCAAGTCCGATTGCTGGACACACATTTGAAGTGGGACGAGTTGATGCATGAGACACTGCGGCACCACTTGATCAACTGCCTTTCTGCAACATTTTGATTTCTTGTCGGAGACCTCGTCCGGGAGATCGGTGCAGGGTGCCTGTGTAAGATGGGGTGTTCCTCGGTGTTGAAAAGTCAGTGTTGAGGACTGCTTAAAGGAGTGTCTAGGTTCCAAGGCAGTCGAGGCAGATCCCCAGAGGGAAAAAGTACATCGAGACAGTTGGAGTGATTGGCCGTTTTCAGCTTTTGTGCTGCACTCGCTTGTGATGCCACATTCTTTGATGGCTTTGCAGTAGAGGTAAAGAATTGTCTTCTCACATTATCTCTACATCTATCCAACTTTTGCTTTTTCAAAAACCCTGGCTTTTGTTTTTCTCAAGGTCACCCTGGCGAGAGACACCAAGTTCTGCTCGTACGAGGAAGTGGTGAAGCAGATTCAGCAGGCCAACCAGAGGTCCCGCAAGAAGCTCGGAGCTGACGACGGGTCGGGGAGCGAAGACTGCGCTCAGGGAGTTGAGCCGCGCGCCGAGACCTGGAGTATCCTGCTGACCTGCCCAGTGACCCTCACGAGGATGCAGGTAGCGATCCTTTCTCCGTAGCCTTCTCTGTATCTCTTCCTTGCTCACGCACATTTACTCTGGCTTCTTCTTTGAATGTTGAGAAAACATGGTGTTGACACAAGAAGGACGTCTTGGTGACGGCTGCCTTCACAGAAACTCCATTTTTTTTTGGGACTCAAAACACGCAGCGGGGAGCAAGTATGCTTATCTACGAAGCGTTTCGACCTGCAACGGAATGACCATGTATATAAACTCGTCGGAATACGAGAGTTTCGTACCTAGCCGAATGCAGACTGGCGCTGCGACACCTTGTCCCCGTGTTTAACAGGCCAGAGTCTTTGGGGTTGAAGTAACACGAGTGCATGATGTAGAACTGAGCTTCCTTTCATCTGTTACAGGTTCCGGCGCGCAGCCTGGCGTGCAAGCACCTGGAGTGCTTCGACCTGCTGTCGCATCTGCGGAGCAATGCGGGCACGCACCTGAAGCAGTGGCACTGCCCTATCTGCAAGAAGAGCGCCACGTGGAACGAGCTCATCGTCGACAAGTACGGTGAGTGACACGTGGAGCGAGCTACGATTGACAGGTCTGTTGAGCGCCAGTGGAACGAGCATCATTATTGACAAGTACGGTAAGTGCTCTGCACGTTCGAAGATTCTGGCAAAAGCTTCAAGTCAGAAGTCTCCCGTGTGGTTTGCCGATACGGAGGGGCGGCTATGCCAATCGACCTTGAATGAATTCTAGACCACGCTGAGTTTACTCTTAACGGTGGTACTCGTCTAGATCGTTAAGGGATACCACTATCTTTGTTGCTCTCTAAGAGCTTGATCAGCAAAGGAGCATGGTCGCAGTATCCACTTTTTCGGATCAACAGGCTAGGAGCGAGGTTTATGTAGGGCTTTCTCGAGAACGCAGTTGGATAATCGCCACCGAGTTTGTGTACTTGTGGGTTAAATGCAAATCGAGATACCTCGTCGTTTTTCATGCCGAATTCTGACTAGTGGCACTTTGGTCACAACGCTGATTGCTTACTTATAGATGCGGCGCGTCGAATTTAGATCCATCATCCGCAGTCAATGCACCGTTTAAAAACCACTTCGAGTCAAAATGCAAAGCAAGCTTGCCTTTTTAGCACTAGCTTTCTAGTCGTCAACGTCATTCTGATGAGTATAAGATCTTTACAGAGCTTTTCCTGACGCTTCACCCCTATGCTGACGATATCTCCTTCCTCCCCTCCTGATGCAGTCGAGAAGCTGCTGGCGGACGCCCCCCCGGACGCGTCCGAGCTGGTCATCCGTCCGGACGCCAGCTGGGCGGTCAAGTCCGCAGCGGAGACGCTCGAGAAGCTGGGCTTTCTGCGCGAGTTCGTCAATCTGGCGGACTCCGCGGACGATTCGGACAGCGACGGAGAGGTGCACTCAGCAAAGGCGACGCTCTCCCCCTTTCAGGATCAGGCTAAACCTCCCTCTCCGATTTCGAAGCTTCGAGAAGAGGAGTCGAATCCAGTGCCGGAGAGGATCCGGGTTGAGCTGGAATTGGCAGATGAGGAAGCACAGGACGAGGGCGAGACGGAGGTTAGTGCTAACCCGCCGGGTCAAGGCGTAACCAGCGCGGGCGGGTCGGGGTCTGCGAGCCGTCCGGCCACGCCAGAAGAAGGCAGCCCGTTGGGTTCTGGGCTGAGGCATGCGGCCCGTAGATACGCTGCGCGGCTGCTGAGGAACTTCGTGAGCCCCCCAGAGAAGCAGCCCGGGGTTGCCGCTACTGGCGGTCCTGTGCGCAACGGAGAGCCGGGTCCAGACCTCGCGCCTGACCCTAAAACGAACCCTTTGGTGCCGGAACGTGGCGGGGAGGCAGCGTCGACAAGTCGGAGATTCTCCCTCGCGACCCCGAGGGTGATCGAGGCCGAGAGGGGGGGGTTTAGACAGCCGGGTAAGACCAAGAGCGGAACGGAACCCAAGCAGCCGGATGCCGTGCACGGAAGCGATCGCGGCCGAACCGGCGGCCGCCCTAGTTTGCCGGTAGGACGGCGAGAGCTGGCGGGACTTGACGCGCAGGCTCCGGTCCCTGAGTCGAGACTCCGGGGGAGTAACCCGGAGACTCGGAGGAATCTCCCTGGGAACAAAGACCCCGGCACCCCAGAGAAGGCTGTTGGGCAGTCCGTGGGGAAGGCGCAGGCGCAGACGAAAGCGAAGACGTTTGGGTGGGGCGGAGCACGGGTCAAGGGGAGCGGATCGAGAGCGGAAAAAGCTGGAGACGGGGCAAAGCGGGATCAAGTGGGCGGTTTGCAGACGCAGCGGAAAACAAGCGAGTGGGGGGTGAGGCGTATCAAGGGGATTGGGAAGCGCTCGAAACACGCTTCTAGTGTGAATACGGGCGGCTTGGGGGAGGGGGGTGATGCGGGCGCGCTCGGAGGGGGGGTACAGCGGGGACGAGGGGCCGGGCGGGAAGGGCAGGGAATCGAGCTCAGCAAGATGGCGAGACATTTGCAGAAAGCGCGGCAGCGGAAGGAAACGCCTGGAGAAGGGGGAGAGACGGGGCTACGGCGGAAAAGGAAAGCGTCTCGCGACGGGAAGCCTGCTCGGAAGAAGCGGAAGCACGTCAGTGTGAATGAGCTCGCCGGGGCGGGCCCTCGCAAGCGGGGGAGGCCGCCGAGCGGGGATTCGGAGGCCCCCCGGAAGAAGAACAGAGAAGAGGGCGGCAGTGCGGGTTTTGGAGCCGGGATCGGATCTGGTGCGGCTAAGGCGACGGGGAAAGTCTTCCCCAGGAAGAGGGACGGAACGTTCGCTAAGGTAGCGGATGCTGGAGCCAAGATCGTGTCCAAGGGGAGGGGTTGGGTTAGCTTGACGACCGCAAGGGCTGGCCCGGTCAAAAACGGGCCCCGTAACGTCCTTGAGAGCGGCACTCGCTCGCACAGCGAATCAGACAGCGACGTCCCGATCGCCCGTCTGTCAAAGGGCACGACCCCGGGGAAGGTTAAGGGAACCGCGAAACCGGCGGGTTTGGACGAGGGTTTAGGAGAGGGTTTCGGGAAGCGGGTCAGGAAGCAGTCGGTGAGGCTCGGCGAGCCAGTCAGTGCGGTGCAAAGCTCGAGGTCTGGGGGGGTTTCGGGGTTTGGACCGGATTTGGGTTCCGTATCCGACTCGGGCTTCTTGGCGGCTTCGGGCTTTGGACCAGGAGGCTTGCCGAACGATTCAAGCCCGATCAAAAGCAAAGTGAACGTCGAGAAACCGAAGGATGGCGGCACAACCCCTGATTCTGCGAGGGGAGAGTCTGCGAGGGGAGAGACGTCTGGTCGCGCTGCGCAAAGCGGGAGCACTAAGCTTGGAAGGGAGTCGGGTGAGAAAGTCCGAAGGAGCTCTGAGAGTGGGGTAAAAGCGCCGAGCGAAGCAGGGAAGAGCACCCGGGCAGTCGACAAGAGCACACTCGCCTTTCTAGAGGCGCTGAGCCGAACAGAGCAGAAGCACGAAGAGTACCTGAGGAAGAAGAGTTCGGAGCGGGGGGGCGCAAACACCGCTGGGAAGACCGCCCCAGAGAAGGGGAGGGGCGAGAGCCGATCGCCTTTGGATCGGGGGGGCGCAAGCACTGCCGGGAGGTACCCCCCAGAGCAGGAGACTGGTGAGAGCCGAATGCCGGCGACCGGCTTTGAAGTGCCCCTTCCCGAGGCGAGCAATGGGGAGACGCAGCAGGAAGGGGGGGTGAGCGCAACGGACTGGGAGGCGGTATTTAGGTCTAGATCGACCCCCCCGGAAGTGAGTGGCACTGCACAGGCGAATACAAGACGGGAACCCGAGTCAAGTGCTTTGTCAGAAAAGGTTAACTCGGACAAAGGAGCGGAGGATAACGGGGCGGATTCCGTGGGCCGGAAAGGCGAAGCGCAAACGGCGGGGTTGGCGGAGAAACAAAAGGAAGGAAGCGCAGAGAAAGGAGCTGCGGCGAGCGGAAGGGCAACTTTGGGGGCTGCCAATGTGGCGGTAAGTCACGCTGATCACAGATGCACACCCAGGCACGTACAAGAAATTAATAAGAGGCACGCCATGCCTGTCTCTTCTAGGGAGCGGGCCAAGATTATGGCCTGTCAAACGCCGGATAAAGTCCGAGATAATGTCATGTAGCATGTAGGACGTCCGCTGGCTCAGATTAGCCTCGTTGAGGATGGTGCGCGGAACCACAATGAACCAAGTTCAGAAGCGGACGCCCTTTTGAGTGATCCTAAAGGCTGCAAGCATCGTGAGAGACTAGGGTTTGTGGTAAGAACTACCGAACTTAGCCGCTGAGAATCAGGGCGGTGGGAACGAAGGGACGGGAAGGATAAAACAGATGGCCATATCAGTACAGAAGGGGAAGGAAAGTCACTGTAAGGTGCGAGTCCTGTAAAGGTGCCTTTACTAATTCGGGTCTTCTTTGATGCGTGTCAGGTGTCCCTTCAGAACACGGCCTCATACTCTTGCGACACGATCGCCTGCCATCATCCACACGACGGTGGCATCAAGTCGGTGGCGAATAAGGGGACGGTCTGGTTCGAAAAAGACTCGATGCAAGTGCAGCTTTCATTCAGGAAAGAGCTCGGGCTGCCACCCCGAATTTGGCCCCTGGAGGACGTCGGCCTAGTTATGGGCTTCAGGGCAACAGCATCAGAATGGCCATGTCAGGTGAGCTCTGTTATTTTCTACTGGTCCAGTGCACCGATGTTGGCGGGACAAGTTTAGTAGACTGCCGTTCTTGTTGGAATTCCTTCCTTCTATCTTAGGCTTTTGTTTGACGTGAAAGTCCACTGAATTCAAAATGGTTAGCAAGCGTTTGGGGCTTGATGTGTTGGAAGAACCGACTGAGGAGGCTCGTCAAATTGCCGAACAAGGGCTCTTTCTTTTCTGTCAGTCCCTTCTGATTGATCTTAAAACCGACAAAGTGAATTTTTTTTCTGCCGTTCGAAGTTAATCTAGCAATCCTCGACGTCGGAAAAGAGTCTGAACAAGGGCGCTCGTTGGCAGGACCTCGCGTCTCAGAGGTGCGGCAGAACGGCTCAGTGTGATGTATTCAAGTCCGCCACAGTACGTAGACTCACTTACGAAGTTGGTGATCAGGCAGACCGTTTGAAGCCTTGGGGTCTTTAATGAAGAGTCGTTTAAGCCCGCGCATGGGTATTTCGGGCGAAATCGCAGACCAGATTGACGACGCCCCAGTACAGGAACTACACTCAGGCGTTTTGTGTTTGGGCATTGTCGTCAATTGACATACCCAAGGCAATCGCTTCCCACTCTACTCACGGCGACGTGATTACATCCGAGGCTCTTTCACCTTCCCATAGACCTGCAGAAGTCTGACCTACCGGAGAAAGCTAGATGTCAGAATGATATCAGAGTGACATCAGCAGGAAATTGCAAATGGCAGGCCGCTGGCATTGCTTCTCCTTGATCAGCCTCCGTTCCGATGACCTGCTATAAACAGTGTCTCCGGTTATACGCACAGGAGTGCATCGTGATCGCCGTTTTGCTTCAGAAGGCGCTGTCCCCGGATTCGACGACACAGGGCGGGCGCCAGCGAGGTGAGTTGGCAAGACATCGCAACCTGTGCTGCTATTTGCATTCAGTGTGATCTACTTCGTCTGGCGAACACCACAGGATGCAACCCAGGCGGACAGATTTTAGGTGTCGAGCTCTCAGGTGGGGGTTTCTTGAAGAGTTTATAGTGCCGCGTCACTGGTATAAAAGCCCCGGTTTTTCTGCTAGTACCGTTACCTTTTAGTGAACTGCATCGTTGATGCTGCGATCTACGATCTTCTAACAGAACCGTTCCCACTGGTCGTCTCCAAGTGATCCCAAGCTTCCCTGCTTGCCTTTCTCTCTCTTGCCCGCCGCAGAGATTCATAATCGCGCGTCAGTCACGTAAGGCGAGTCTGCAAGGCGTTGCGGAACCTCTGGGCGTCATTGCGCTTTGACGACTGCGTTCGCATGCTCTTTGCAGGTGCAGACCCCGCCTTTATTCTCTTTGAGATCAACGCTGACGAATGGGGCAGGAAGCAGGCGCCCCCGAAGTGGACCGAGCGCATCACTTTCGTGGATGTCGAGTGAGCTTCCGCTCGTGTCTTTTTCGTCCGGTTCTGTTCCGCTTGTCCTCGGCTCCTCTTCTTTCAAATCTCGATTTGCAGAAAAGACGCTGCTTCTCGTCCGAATTCTGCTCGTGTCCTTTCCAGACTGCCCTGAATTGGTTTTGTCTTCAGTCTTGTCCTTGCTTTTTCAACCCCTGTTCCACTCTCTCTCCGTCCGCTCTGATCCGTTCTACTCTTCCGCTGACTGTGAGGGCCACATTCTGACCATCCCTTTTCACATGGATAAAAGTTGCAATGAGGCGTACGCTCAGGGTCTGTTTGAGCTGCGTTTCCGGGAAGCCCGTCTCCATTCTCAACATACAAGGACACTTCCGCTGCTTGCGTGTATAGTGAATGCATCGACGAATGCGTCCGTGACTGAAGTTGTTGGAAAAATGTTAAGAGCTCTAAATTTATCCAGCGCCGAGTTGCCGCGCATGTTCTGCTCCGCCTCCAAGCCGGGCGCGCTTATGTAAAGCTTTGGTCTCCCCTGTTGCTCTGCGCCGTTGCCTTTCAGCTCCTCACCTTCGACAGTATCGATGGTTGCTGTGGACGTAACTTCGCTGTAACTGTTCTGTGTTGTCGTCGGGGAAAACGAGCTGCTGCGGTCTTGCCTTTGCGCGACTAAGGAAACTCTCACAGGGCCGCCGTCCGACTGCGCTGTCTGATTTTAGACTGGACTGTGGTTTTCAGGAGCGACATTGCGGGAAGTACAGGGTCGCGGGCCCGTGACGTCATTGCCCGCGAGCGGAGGGACGCACTCTGGGACAGGTGAGTCTGCCGGATCGAGCCAGCCTCTTGGCGGGCGAGGTCAGGAAACTCCCCGGTGGTGTGCGCTCATCATGACGTCAGCGTAATCCGAATAGCACAAGCTGGTACCCGGTTGGATGTCTTCTTCCGCTGGCACTTGTCACGTTCGGACTCACCGCCGGTACCCACCCTTGCGTGCCAAGGTTCTTGAAACTGTGGCGAATGCCCGTTTCCGGACAATTATGCGTGGTCAAAAGCAAAGAGCTACTTGTCAAAACTTCTGAAATGCAACAACGGCCTTAGCGTCAGCAATGTCGATGACCGTTCAAGAGCACCTCGCAATCATCGTGCATTTGCCAAGTGAACGCTGGGTAGCCATTAAAGTCGTGAATAGTGCTTGTTGCGAAGGGTAACTAGACCTGGGTCTGTGCCAGCTTTGGAACCGACCAACTATCGTAATCAACCCGTTGTATTGTCCGTTTTGTCGATCAAATGCCCAGACCTGCCATCTTTCGTTTCCCGTGCAGAGCTATCGCAGAGTGCACTACTCTCGTAGAACTCCCAAAAGAAGCGCCTCTCGGTCCGGCCTCACCAGAGCCTGTTCACACCACCCCCGTCAGCGCCCCCAGAGAAAGCGCGCCCGTCACACCGGTTGCTCGGGAAGTCCAAGAGCCGCCGGCAGTGGAACGGACGTCCAAAGAGAAGGAGTCCCCACCAAACCCCCTGCCGCCTTCTCCGTCCGTTCTCCCAGATACCTTCCGAACAGCGGAATTGAGGGAAACGAGAGGCGGAAACGGAAGCGAGACTGCGGAAGGTGCTGGCGGCCGGAGGGATCCCCCGGGTGCTGGTCCAAGGCTTGTTGTGAGTGGAGAGTCGTTGAAGGAGGGCGGGGCGAAGGGAGCCGTCGAAAAGGACGTCCGGAAAGGAGACAAACCGTCCGAAAGCGACCCGCGGACAGCCGACGGTGGCCCGGCAGGCGAGGGAGCTCGCAAGGAGGAAGCGGGAAAGGGAGCCATAGAAAAAGACGTCCGAAAAGAAGATACACGGTCCGAAAGAGACCCACGGACAGCTGAGGATGGGCCGGCAAGCGGAGGAGCTCGCGAGGGAGAAGCAGGAAAAAGACCCGTGACGAAAGACGTCCGAAAAGAAGAAAAACCGTTTGAAAGAGACACGCGGACAGCTGAGGGTGGGCCGGCAGGTGGAGGAGTTCGTGGCGATGAAGCGGGAAAGCGAGCCGTAACAAACGACGTCCGAAAAGAACATGAACGGTCCGAAAGAGACCCACGGACAGCTGAGGGTGGGCCGGCAGGTGGAGGAGTCCGCAAGGAAGAGTCAAGAAAGGTAGCCGTGGAAAAGGACGTCCGGAAAGTAAAGGGATCGACGGTAAGAACCCAGCGGACAGCGGAAGGTGGGCCGGAAAGCGAGGAGAATCGGGAGGACAAACGGGAAAAGGGGGGGATTGCTGAAGATGGGGGAGGCAATGCGTTTGCGGAGCGGTGGAGAGCGGGCTTGCAGAAGAAGGACGCTTCCAAGGGCAAAGAGGTAAAACATCGTACGAGCATTCGCTCTTGGAGGACTATTCTTACTTGTTCTGGCTGCCAATACTTGAGACTATTTTCTAGACTATTTTCGTCTGTAAAAGTCCGGCGGTAAAAGTTGGTGATGCAATTCTGGGCTGAGAAATGCTTGATGGACGAATTACGGTCCAATCATGGAAGACCCCGTTGAAGTGCCTGGTCGAGTAGAGACTCACCAACTGGCACCTAAACCAAGAGTTGACGCAAGTACAGTATGCCGCCATTTGAGGCTGCTCAGAGGCAATGATTCTAGGAGGGAGGAGATCAAGTTCGGTAGTGGTAGCCGTTTCGCGGGATTCCCGTTTCAAGGAACCGGCAGAATTGAAAGCCCGTTTCCATGGCTCCTTAAAGGAGGGAAGAGCAATGCGATATTTTGGTCGGACGATGGAATCGAGATGACCGATTGTGGTAACAAACCAGTGCCACACTCCCGTGAGAGGGGCGAGACTCAGGCTTGTGTGCGACAAGGTGCGCCCAGAAAATGATCCGCTGCGCCTCGAACACTCGACTTTCAATGGTCAATCTTTGCATATCGAAGCTCCTTTGCTAGGACTTGCATCAGCCCTTTCATCTCCGGGCCTCCTAAACGCAGGAACAACGTTTTGTTTCCAACGGGGTGTTCGATGTGTTCCAGATAGGCGGGCAATGTATAATTCACAGTATTCTCGTCAAAAATGTCAATCTCGCACCTAAATTGGCGTAGCAACACGTTGGCCCTGCATATGACGGTCCCGAACTTTGTGTCCAGGTGCCTCCAGCGCAGACAAGAGAGACTGCGCCCCCGCGGTTCAACAGCAACCGCTTGCGTGTGGGCACCTTGACCGTCCGGCAGGGCACCGTCCGCTTCACTCGCGACGGACTGAAAGTTTCTCTGGTGCACCGGAAGCCGGAATACTGGTCGGAGCAGCTCGAGTGGCCGTTGGAGGAGCTGGGTCTTGGCTACGCGTCCCTTTTCCCCGCCGCATCGGTAGGAAGTCCGGAAAATGGGATAGAGCGTCTGAGCTTTGCCATGGTCGGACATCCGGAAAAAGACACAAGAACGTCTGAGCTTTTAACCTTCAATTTCCAACGGAGAGCTGGTTTGCCTTTGCGATTTGCTTTTGAACTTGAAGCTGTACTGTGTGAGTTCTAAATAAAGTCTGAGAACGCCAGACTTTGGTAGAAGTATGGCTGCGTTAGGGTGTCGAGGATTTTGCCGCTTCCACGCGCTTTGGTGCGCGCTTCTTTGCACTTGCTACTGAGATGGAACGTTTAGTAAATCTTAAGTTCAGCGGAAATTTCATGAGCGGACCGGATCACCGAGCCGCAGAATTCGTCCTTGAGGGGTTTGCTTGGAAAGAAGAACACAATAGATGCTTTCATTTCCTGCTGTCTCGTCAGCCCTACGTCACGGCTATACTCACGCAATGTAACTGTAAGGCGGCGAAGGCTGATCAGCGTAACCCGTTTCTTAGAGAGGATGTTTTACTTCCGGATGCACGAATATTTGCTGCAGAAAACTTACATAGGCAAGTCCTTGAACCACTCTTCAAGTTGGGATCCCCTCCCGACCTGCAGCAGATGCGAAAATACCTATTGTCTGCGCAACTGCGAGTTTCCGAACCCCCTGAGTTTTTGACGCTTGGAGCGCAACAGCATCTCGGGCTGGTCCTTTGCAGGATGTTTCTTCTCTACAGATTCACCAAAGCTTAGATATAGCGAGGTCGTACCCTTGCACAAAACACCTAACTCTCAAATCACCTGCTCCGCAGCCGTACCCACCCTAAACCCCCAATGTAACCCCACCCCTCCAAGGCTGGTTAGCTTCCTATAGTTAGAGCTTACTATAGCTAAATCGAGGTTTATATCTGCAGGGTGGGAACGATTACGCTGTCATTCGTCTGGCTTTGAAGCGGGGGATCCCTTGGCAAGTGGCCAATCGTCTGGGCACCACCGTACAAGGTCGGCACGCCTGTTCATTATCTTTCCGTGGTCCCTCCTTCTCCTGCGTTCGTGAAGCTTTTTCCTTTTAGAAGCGCTCAAAGAGCTCTAACGTTATTAGTTCTTCTGGGATCTTCTGACTGCTCCATCCAATCGCTGTTTTCCCAAGCTATCTCGCCGGACTTTGTATGACGGATGAGACTGACGCTTTCGGAGGGTGATCAGAACGCGCTTGCAAATCTGGTTCCTTCCAAAGGATGTCGGTCTTGTGATCTCGCTCTTCTTGTTAGTGCTCTAAGTCGCGCGTGGGAAGGACAAAAGGTGGTGGGACCACTTGGAGCAAAACGACGTCTGAGTCCATACTAACGAAAAGGATATCTAGTTTGATGAACGTACTGGCCAGACGATCAGAAGGACGAGTCGGAAAAAGCTACGCAATAAGAACTTCGCGGTTGTCTGCAGATGCCGGAGCGCCGGTTGTCGTGTTCGAGCTGCGCTTGAGTGACTGGAGGAAGGTCGAGTCCTTCCCGGCATGGAGGGGCTCCTGCGGATCGTGCTCTTACGTGTAGGACGCCTACTGCTTTCGTCACACTCGGCCTGTCGACTGCTATTGTGCTTGCTGAATCAATCAGAGGATTGTGGAGCCTAGCTTGTACCGTCCCTCTTTGTCCTTGTTAGCATGCTAAACAGCACCAAGGCTCAGAAAAGGGAAGCCTCTCCCGATCAAACGAGTGGACGGCGTGCCCACGCAACGGCTTTGTTAACTTCACAGTCTCACTTTCGTTTCGAAGTTCGGGACGCATACAGACGCTTAAATCAGAGGAGCTACTGCAAGAGATTGAGAGCGTGTGTCGACGTCGCGTTATTCGCGCGCTTCTAGCTTGACTTGTGTCCAAGATTTATGCCTCGCGACCTTTTTGACGGTGGATTGTGAGTCCCTGAGGCAGCTACAGGCGTCTTCTTAGACGCCACACGGTTGAATCTGCTGCTCACCAATCCAGATCTGAGGCCGTTTTACGTTCACCGGTCTGAACAAGTGGATCTCATCTTCTTTTTAGTTACTTTTGTGACCTCAGAAGAATTAACGAGCAAGAGCTCCTTGTAAGCTGTGTTTCCTAGGCTACATACATCAGTGCCCCGCTGCCGATCCTCGGTAGATTTCATGATGTTCAACTCTGACACACCCAGAAGGGAATTCTATTTGCAGTTACGCGTACTATCTGAAGGAACGGCGGGACTGCAACGAAGATGTTCGTGATTGGCTATGGAGGAGGTGAGACATCGTCACTCCTCTGTTTAGCGTAATTACCTATGTGGTCAGCAGACTGTCGTTGGGCACTTGCCAGCGTTTTGGTTTTCCTTGAAAAGCCCTTTATTTAGTTCTAGGCAATATTAGCGTGCTGGTACTTTGAAGTGAGCCTGATCTACCACAGAAGAAGTCTAAATAGGCCTTGTCTAAGCGGTGAGCAGCAGCGTACACGTACAAGACGCCAAAGCCCGCTGAAACACTTTTTGACAGCAGAAGCAGATTTCCCTCCTGCAGAGACGCTGAGTGGTTCGATAAAGACACGGCAAACCGTTGGCAGCTGGGTTCCAGGCCCGTCGCTCGAATGACTCGTCCGGCGACACCTGCTGACGCACCGGCTGACGCCATCACGGGCAAGGGTGGGAACCGGGATACCCAACCGGGGGGAGCCGGAGGCGCGCAACGAGGGGAACCAAGTGCCCGGGGAAAAGCAGCCCGGGCAGTGGGCGAGGGATCCCCCCCCCTGACCCGGGGACAGCGCGCCGCCAGTCTGGGCGACCTGAATATTGACCCGCACACGGAAGTGATCGATCTGACGCTTGAAGCGTCGGACGGAGAAGGGGAGACGATTTGGAGGAAAGAGAGGAAACGGCGGAGAGCTGGTTGAGAGAAGCTGGGACGATTCGGAATTGTCGTGCTGAGGAGAACGGTGGTGGTAAGTTCCGCGGAAGGGGCGTGTTGCAAAGTGGGCCTGATTTGGCGGAGCAAGCAGGAGTGGGAGCCGGCGGATCGCCGCAGAGGAACAAGAGAGGGCGTGCAAAAAACGAGCGGTGTAGCAACGCAGTGAGGGGGGCCAGAGACGCAGACGGAGAGGAGGTGGGGGGATCGAATAGCCGGGGGGGGGGTTAAAGTTAGGATGCCACAGTATTGGAGCAGGGGGTAAGTCCTTCAGACATGGGGAAGACTCACTGCGAGATGCTGCCCTTTCTTTCAAAGTCCGCGTTCCTCAGCGCATAAGTCGGGGAGGAAGAACTCAGAAGTGGGTGTCCGGACTCCGTCAGTGTTACAAGGCCGAGAGCGAGGTCAAGAGTGGTTGGCAGTCGGAAGGGGCAATGGATTTTAACGGCTGCGTTCCAAGCGGGTCTGTTAGCAGATTGCGAGGGGACTCCCTCGGGTGAATCAACAGAGCTCTCGGCGGCCTTCAGGTATTAAGAGGGGTTCTGGAGGAACTCTACTGGACAGAAGGGAGTACGAGTTTCTTGCGACCCAGGGCCGTGCGATATGGACGGTTATCCCGAAAGATCTCAGTACGTCACTCCAGGACGAGGTACAAGCATCTCGGGAGCCTTGGTGTACGGAAAAGCTTCCATGCGGATCTTGGACCATGATTGATCAGTCAATGCATGCGTCATTGGGCATGACGCCGTCTCGGGGTCGTGTAGATGGAGATCCGTAGGCCCTGACTTCCTGAGGAAGTCGTCAAAACGTGTGGGTTGTCCTCTGCATGCCACTTCATCGAGGAGTGCAGCAAGGCCACCGCCCGCATCTACAAGCAGGGGTATGTCGTGGATGTTTGCTAGTCTGTCTGGTCCTTTGTAAAAACTGAATTAGCTTCTTGGAAGCCGCACCCAAATTATACGGCCATCAAGCATAAAGATTCTACAGTCTGCTCCTGAACGGGGCATAAGCTGCGGTCCGCTACTCTTCAGGGGCCGATGGTTATCGGTCGTGATGCATTTGGAGCCACCGGTCGATGACTTCACAATCATGGCGGCATGTAATGACGAAGAGTGTGTTTCAGGCTGAAGGTGTGCTGAATTTGCGGAATGTCAGCATCTTTTTAGTACCAACAAATCCATAAGCTGCAAACTTACGTTCCAACGATCTGCATAAGACACCGCAGCACAGAATCAGTCGTTCAATGCTTCATTTTCACCCTCAGTCTGGATCCAAGCTTGCCAAAAGAGATCATTGAGCATGACTGTTCTTGCCTGGGCTCTTGACGCTGGAAACGTATGTGCTCAAAATGGACGACTCATAATTTGTCACATGTAGTAATACAAGGTTGCCCGCCGTATTTATCATTGGCATGTTTCATGACGTCAAGAGTCAAGACCAAGTTGACTGATTTCATCAAACGATATGACAGATTCGCTTGGGCTTTCTGACCGTACGATGGCTTTTGCCAAGCCTTCGACGGCTTGGAACTACCCGGTGACCTGCCTCAATGTGTGAATTTTGAAACTTGTAGGTAGTTAAAGTTGAGAACCAGCAGCACGTACGGTACTAACTGTCATACGGTACCGGTAGGGAATCTGGAATCTGCCATCCATCCGGCATCCAAGTTGAATCCAACCCCTCGTGCGGAACTTATTGGTTCGGCTGGGATTTTCAGTAACCCAGTAATCAACGGTCAAGAAGGCCAGTTAGTAGTATGTTAGAGCTGGAGTTTGATGAAGGTTAGTACGGTACCCCAGATTTTCGGTATGCTGATATGTATAGGATACCTAAATTAAAGATAGAAGCCAAGTCGAGAAAGGCCTGCTTGGCGTCAGCACAACACTCTCGCCCAATCAGACCGACGCTTTCAGGATTCCGGACGTCAGATGCGCTTTTGCTAGAATCCTGCCGAGGGTCTGCGCTCCATTCCTCTGGCGGTTTCGGAGCCAACTAACCATCTGTTGAACAGCATAAAATGGATCAACCAAAAAGCGCCACGTGTCCCCCCTTTTCGGCGAGACTCGCTGCCGCGCCGCACCTAGGTCGCCCAGAAAGCCTGTAGGTCACCACCGAACCGGCCGCTTGACCATTGCAAGCGGGTTACAAGTCACGGTTAATTTGCCGTCCGAACAAGAAATCGCTGTTCGAGCGAGTAGCGCGCGGGTGAAGCTTCGAAACGTATCTGGTGCATGGAGTGCTTGAGCATCGATCAAACACGAGGTCTGTGCTTCCTGTCTCCTGTGGTCCTGCTAAGCACGGGTCAGAGAGTCTCGGCACCTGTTGTGTCGACGAGTCCTCGTCATTCAATTACCACCTCAGGCGCAAGCAATCTCCGCGTCTGCGAGGTTCCTTTGCAATACATTCATCACGGGGCTGGGTATCAGCACTCTCCTCTCCTCTTTGCG